ATGTTCCTAATATTCAACACCGTGATAACTCAAATTCTCACAATAGCTTTCCATAGATGTTACAGGACATTTTTCTCCTGCCACAGTCTCTTACCCCACTCAGATACCACTGTATTCTGTTGCACTGTGATTATTTCACTGCTGCATACCAGGAAGCTCCACTTCCACATCTCATACGCTTCTTCCTAATGTGTAATCAGAGCCACCACACACCCCCCTTCATGCCTTACACCCATCTCTTCATTCCCCCTTTCCCACTCAGGGACACCTGATCCAGTGAGGGTGTTGTCAAACGCTTTTCTACAAGGGATCTGTTCTTGGTTTGATGAAAAGGGTGTACAGCACCGATTATTTTAAGCCACTTGAATACCTAAATTCTATCTCCCAAAATTAAAGTCCTTTAGATGCAGAGCATACACATACACCTCTTAACATATGATGAGAAAGCTAAGCTTATATTTAAGACTTTGAGGGCAACAAATGAGAATATAGTATAAGAGATCACTACCCTTACAGTACACTCCCCTTTTCTTGCCAGTGGATGGTAGCTTATTCCACACCCTCAAACTTTTGCATCCCATGTTTAATTCAACAGACATTAAAGATGAACATTTGAAATATCAAATTATTTTTTCTAATTTCCTTTTAAAGAGTAACTGAAGGCTCAAAATGTAACACCAGCAAGTAGCTTGCTTTCAATTCACTGTTATGCGTGATGAAAGGCTTATCTAGGAACACACTTGAGTATGATAACAGCAAAATGCATGAAACATTGACAATGCAATAGATAGAAACAACACAGACAACTGTTGTGTTTCTGACCATATATAGTCACTAAGCAATGGCAATAAATACCAAACACTTTAGCTATGCCTGTACAACTGTTTGAAGACTGTAAGCAATCACACCTTGACGTAAATGCAAACAAAATCATTATCTTAACACTAGAATTTAATGCAAATTCCTGCAAGAACATTTCCCCACATAAAACTACATCACTGTTTTGTCTTAAAATTGATTAAATGTCAGAATCAGGACATTAATTATAGTCTGATGCTTAGTGTCAGAAGTATTCATGGTTGAACAATGCTGCTTATTCCTTTGTATAGGGGTCAGTTATTTCATTGTTAATTCACAGCACTTGACGAGTCAGAAGGCAATTTTTTGAAAAGCTGTCTATATCAAATCTGGCAGTGAGCATTTTTCAAAATAGTTATATATGGGTTTATTACACTATTTTAGAATAAAAATGTGAACATGAATACCCTTTAACAAAGCTTCACCAAACCAGATCAACAAGCAAACATGGCAGTTCGGTTAGCAGGCCAGTGGATTTCCAGGTGAGGCACATAATCCTCCATGCGCAGGCCTGCCTGGTGACTCATTTAGTAGGGCTCCAGAAGAAGGTGACTCAAGATGTGGATAGAGATAGGTCTTAAAAAGTACTTTCTCCCGAGGAAACACAAAGTAAAATGCAGAGGACCTCTGTATTAAAATGATCAGCTCCAAGACTGTAAGTCTTCAGTAAAACTTTCCAGATGTCGAAAGAAGTAGAAACTAGATTTACCCAGGGAACATGCCTGCCACCCGTTACAGCAACGCCTTCTTTCAGATGTCACTAACAGAACTCAGCTCAACTTGAAAGACCAAAATCTCATCTACTGACAGTGTTTGTCAAGACAGAACTGTAGTCAGAGAAGCCATATCCATGTTCCCATTTCTGAAGACATTAGATGATTTATTAATGCATCGGATAAGATAAATATAAGATTTGTCATATTTAATTCCTCTCCACCGTTCACTTTTATCCTACTAATTTGCCCCTTTGTTAAAGCAGCTTTAACAGAATCCATTGTATAGCCACTCCCTAGCTCAGACAAAATCAATTATATAGCATTAACAGAAAGACCTGATAAACCCCTAGGCCACAAGTGGTGAACTTATGCTGAACTTGTACTTAGTTACATGACAGGAGGCCTCGAGACCAGTGCATCCTGTGAAAAATAAGGTAACTGCCTCTGTCAGCAGTAGCTGCATTCTGTGAAAAATAAGGTAGTCACATCTGTCATCAGAAGCTGCATCCTTGAGATAAGATAAGGAATGGCCTGAATAATGATCCAACAAAGAATAAGACCACCCCAGAGCCAAATATTACTATTAGACCAAACTGTCACATGAGGGGAGAGGAACTTAAATTGAGAGGGTATCACTGCCCTGAGATTCCTTTGTTCGAGGTCCCTCTCTGGAGGCACCCAGCTCGAGCAGCTTTTCTGCTGTACCATTTGAATAAATTATAGGATCTGATGCCTGAGACTCTGCTACAGGAAACCTAGGGTAAACAAATTTCCTTAACACCTTTATTCCCCAAAACATTATTATGAACAGGATTATCATTAGCAGCTTGAAAAAAGCCTGTCACTCCTCTAAAAAGGAACCTCTATTAATGAGCTCCAAAACTAACAAGGCAGCGTCTTCACACTGGCATTCAGAAGAAATAATTATTTAATTCTCATGTTACAGCCTTCAACTCAACAAGCTCAGTGAGTGACACAAGCTAAAATGTGAGGTGAGAGAGTGTTTACTCTTTCCAGATGTTGGTGTGCAACACCGGGACTGATAGTTTGGTTCACATCTGAGTGAAATTATCTAGAGCATTGTTTCAAAATTCCACTATACAGTAAACACAAACTGTAGCCACATACAAATTCATAATTTATTTAAGAGCATATTAATAAAAATACATGCAGTCACCACAGAAAAATATGCCCACAGAAAATTAAATACTATACGCTATGACAGGCATGGCAGGTGACTGCATGCAAGCACAGTTTACAACCCCCATCCTTTCAAAGAACTTGAAGTAAATAACATGAGACATTTAACAGCAGCATAACGTGACCTGAATAACAGGCAATAAACTTACATATCATGTGGCATACCACAAATTAAAAGTAATACACTGCTTCAAAGGACTAAAAATATCTGCAAAATTAACAAACTGCTGTTTATTTTACAATTGTTCAATGCCCTAAAATTAACTTGTGCTGTTTGGCAAATTCTTGGAGGAAGACTGGCTGTGAACACTCAATTTGTCATTGCATAATAATGGGTGATAACATGGACTTAACTTTCTTTTAAAATGTATGAGGTGTACATAATCTACTTTATGTATTATTTATTTTTGTAGTTATCTCTGGTCTTGGCTGAGAACCAATAAATAAATTGAAAATGTGAACTATTTTTATATTATCTGTGTATAAAAATCAATATAAAACTATATATTTTATTCTTGTCTTATGTTATCGGCCTGGAATGGATGGGCTAACATTTTAAGAGTACTCCAGAATGAATGATTTTTCTAAAAGCCTCGGCTGATCAGCATGACAGATAACAATGATATTTGCTGGTCATAACGCTTTTAATCACAAAGGACCTTAAGGCATCTCAGACACCATATGCATATATCAAACCCTAAAACGCAGCCATGTCTGGATCCAGAAGAAGTCAACAGCTAGTAATCACTCCTCTGAACAACAGCGGAGACACAGAAACTGCCCCAGCTGCACATGGAGGAACACAAAATAAAAAAAAACAACCAGCCAAACAAAAAATCCTGATTAAGTTGCAACTTTAGTAGGAGCAGGGTGATATAAAGACCTGGTGTAAACGGCTAAGACGCAGTCGTTCAGGCACAAGTTGCCATGTGGCATAAGAACATACACCATACTGTTCAACAGTGAAAATGCAGCTGAAGCCCACTTTGCCCCTTGATAAAACCAAGCCTGGTTGCTAGCTCGTTCGATAGCATGGCCTGACAGCAACTTTATGGTATAGACCACTGTTCTTTGCTTGTCTACTCTCTCTTATTCGGGAAGGCTTTCATCAGCCTCTCTTAATCTGATTCCAAGCAACCGTTGGGAACAATTTGTTTACAAAATTCATGGAGCACTGATGAAAGGACATAATTCTCAAATGACCAGGCACCAAAGGCATTACTTTTCTGTCCCCCTTTTTGTCTGAAACCTTCTCCTGAATCAATTCTCAAGGTTGATTTCTGCAGAAACACATTTTAGATGGCAGGCTGTCGTGGTCTGAGCCTGGTCGGCAGCCAACCACCACGCAGCCACTCACTCTCCCTTCTCTTCCGGCAGTAAGAAGGGACAGAGAGCCAGGCTTGGGGTTCGAGATAGGACTGGGATGGGGAAAAAAAAAAAAAAAAAAAAAAAAAAAAAATCACTCAACCCAGGACACTCATCTGGATTATTACTATTTGAGCCTGGCCTTCATAGTTAACCAATAGGCCCTTGATTATCTATGGGGTGAGTAAAAAAATAAACAAAGCAACAAAGAGACTTAAAGAAAGTATCTATTACAGCTGTCTCAGCAGATCATAAAACCTAGTCCTATTCTGGGAGTCTGGTTTGAACTGAGGAGGTAGGTCATGAGGAAATGAAATATTGTAAAACTCAAAGCTGAGCTGCTCTATCAAGAGGGGATGACTCACAGTAGAGTAAAAACCCATCTTCCTCCTACTGAAGTCTCAAAACATACCTCCAAATGGGACTATTGCGCCTTCTCAAATTAAGTCCTTATTACTGCACAGAAGGGGGAAGGTTTAGTTAAAAATTTTAAAACAGAAAAGGCCTTAATCCCGGATGCAGGTAAACAGTTCTTTCCAAGAAGAGCATTAAAGCATGCATTAGCTTAAACTTGTGCTTAGCAGCGACTAAAATTAAGGAGAAGCATCCTGTCTTCATTGGAAAAAACAAACAAAACCAATGAAACTTCCACTGATATAGGTGTTTTTCCACAATGGGGACCAGCTTGCACACTTCACCTCCTTATACGTGGTATCTGAGAATATACAATTAGACAATTCAAAGTTCAGACACTGCACATCAAAATATATTTCTCATGGATATCTTAGCTTCATTTTGATACTAGTGTTACATGGTTAAACTTATTCTTTGTGGTGCCTAAATTATTTGTCATATACTTACTCTCTTTCTGCACATCAGCAAGTGCTGCATGAAGTTCCTCTTTAAACACAACTGCTTCCTTGGCAATTTTTTCCCCCTTGTCCAACAGATTCCAAGTGGCTTCTTCCACAGAAGCTAGCAAGACACGAGCTCTTTTGGAACGGCCCTTTTTCTTACTAGAAGGATTTTGTGGACAGTTCACTAGTGTTGTAACCTACATTTAAAAGAAGCAGAAAGGATAATAGTGGTGTAAGTTCTATAATAAGTGAATTTATATTGTTCTCAACTTAAAAAAACAAAACAAAACAAAAACCAAAAACCAAAAAGACCTAATTAATATAGTTGAGAGTAAGCAATGAGATTCTCCCTGCTTTAGAGAGAGACAGGCAAGCTCAGCATACATACAGAGAATGGGAAAGACTATTGAATCAAATTTGACAAAAATAATTCTACTTCCTAAGTCTCATGTTCATATTCTTCTTTCTGCGTGATCAAACCAAAGTCAATAGAAATATCACCATCATATTAACTGTGATGCAAACTCTTGTTTTAAAATTTCCTCATGATAAAAAAAGAAAAAAAAAAATAACTAATGCTATCTAAAGAGGCTTCAGCCAAGGCAGGAATTATAATCAGTACTGATCTTCCCATAGCTCCAACTTAAATATCCCAAGTTCTCAGACGCAAACACCCAAAATAAGTATAGACACATTTCAAAGTGTTTTACCTTCTTACAAAGGAGGATCACAGTGGTCAGAACTCAGCACCTCAGAATTCTGTGAGGGGCTTTCAACATTGAAATTGTACATCATTATACCCAGAATGTAGGTTTACTGCAACTTTGTCCAAATTACTTTTTTTAACAATGCACTTCACATCCATAAAGAACTTATTTTTATATAGCATCCCACTCCACATTCCTCAACATCTGAGCACAGCCTCCACACTCCAACAGAATGTTTTTAACAGACTATTCTCTAAGGCATTGCTTGAGCTGTCACAGTAAGGAAAGACTCCTAAAAGATTTTAAAACTGCTATATAGTTACTTTAAAACATACTTTATTTTCATTAATTTCACTGGTGTTTTTTAATCCTCCTCCTGTTCTGTTCTCTGTGCCACAACATAGCATAATATTAAGTACAGATCTAATCTTGGAGCTCAGTGAACACATTTTGTACGTCTATAATTGCTTCACTTTATTACATGGCATTACAATCAACATCATCTAAGCAAAGCAAAAGCTGTGTATGAATTTCTCATTTCTCTGTGTGATGAGAGAGAAGTGTGTGAGCTGTGTCCCAGCTCACCTGCGGGTCCTGCCCCTGAACTCACCCACCTCAACGCTTTACACAAATCGGTACTTTTAAAAGAAATAACTGACAAACATCCTCCTGGAAGCATTTCTAGAAATGCATCTTTGAAAGACAAAAGCCCTGACCCCTATGTCATTCAGGTGGAATTTGGGGGGAAAAAAGCACCAGCCACTTGACATTGACTGCTTTGGCATGTCACAAGGGAGACCACAAGATAAATAACTCTGGCTCAGATTGTTAAAGAGGGCTTGGGTATTTTTTTGACTGCAGCTCAAAGTAAATTAAATTAAATTATTTATTGCACATAAATCAGCCAGCTGGTAGAGAATGCACTGGGAATAAGCATCTTAATATCTTTTATTTTTACAAACCCTCTAACATTCGTTCTAGAGCATTCAATGCAGTTTAAATGATCATGGTTCTGACAGTGAATTAAAGCGATTATAGGCTGATACTTCCAACAAGAAAGGCATAAAACACTGAAAAAAATAGAAGCTGCCTCAAAACCCTATCAAGTAAAAGACATTTTTAAAAGTGTCTTAACTATTTAATCACCATTACCAGAAAATAATATATTCTATTACTCTGATTTTTACTGTAGTCTCCTTTTAATGTAAAATACCATTCTATGTACTCTTCATTCGTATGTTGAGGAGGAGGAGGAAAGGGAACAAAACAAATGGAAAAAATAGAAAAAAAAAAAATCATTCCTGCAGGTGAAAACTCTTGACTGTAAGGCCCTTCATGTCCAGTATCACTGCCAGGAAATATCAGAGGCAGCTTCTGATCTCAAGTACAAACCAAAATTTGATAAGTAGTTCTTGGCTCATGGAGATTAAGGAATACAGAAGAACTCTGAATTCTCTAACACAGAATCCCAGTGAGGAATGCAAAAAACTTTATGCAGATCCTACACAGAAAGAATTGAACTACAGAGTAGCTAATACTGTGTGCCCTTTTGATCCACTGTCAACACAGCTTGTACTGTAGTAGCAGAATACACAGTCAAAATTATATTATTATAAGAAAAAAAAAAAAAAAACAAAACCCAAACACAAAACAATCAACCAATCCCCATTAATGCTGCTCATGCCCACTGCACCTCCCCAGTATTAACACCTTCTTATTGCCATGTACAGCAGGTCTCCCAGAATTCCATGAAAAATCACTGTCAAGGGTTTATTTCGTATCTCTGGTGGGAGCAACAGAATTGTGCTAGAGGCACAAGGGGTTTTTAAGTGAGATTTTCAAGCCCATATGCCATCACAGTTGCGAAGCTGAATCATGTTGTTGTTGCCTGTTATTACCATTATTTATTAGGCTGAAGGGGTGGGATTTTTTTGTCATGGTTATCTGAATTCCTAAGGAACTGCGCAGCAGTTCTTCCAATGTTATGTTCAGTTCCTGCCAGCCCTCACAGACAATCTTGACAATATTGAAGTAGTTAAGGAAACAGTGTCTTGGTACCTTGAGTACCAAAAGATTTGGTTCACCTTTGATATTACATCTAAAAGTATTTTAAAGCATCAATAATAAAACATCCTTTTTTGTTTACAATTTAGTTCAATGTGACTGCAATCCCTAGACATTTGAAAAAAACAAGACACCAACGCAGTGATCTAACATCAGCAGAACCCCCTGCTCACTGTTGCAAACCCAAAGTATTGTCCCTACAAATAAATACTGGTTAAATCACTTTCAGTGTGCGTAAAGTAAACTCACCACACAGAACTAAACCAAACAGTGCATGTTTTCTGTGTGAGCAAGCTTCTGTCGGTGTGGATGACAGGTGAGAATAGACGCCTTTCAACTTGCCGATTTTACTTCGGTGAAGGAAGGGACTCTAAAATGCATGGATGTTTCTACATACTCTGTAAAACTTACCTCTATCTCTTGCAGACATAAACTTTCCTTAGCTCATACATATGTATAAAACATGAAGAGATGGAAGCAAAAGGTTTCGCAAGGAAAAGCTCTTACAAATATTTGCTTATGTATACATACACACACATAACCCATATATATTAGGCACATGCGTGTGTGTGTATACATAAATATATAGAAAGACCTTTAGAAACAATATCCAAATAGGTGTCAAATTTACAGCTTCTAAGACTTGTAGTGACTGCAAAGGCAGTTATGAAGTGTTTCCTGCATGAATTAATGAAGCTATATGAATCTCATCGAGTCGTATCTTTCAAAACTTTTACTTGTACGTAAATTCAAAAGGAAAAAATTCTTATAATAGTTTGCTGCAGAAGCAAATTTATACCTAGCCATAACGGTAATCATTAAATAGTATAGCAAAGAGATTAAACAGACTTCAGTCACTGGGGATGAGATAAAACAAAAGGACATTTCCCATGACATTGTTATGTTTTGTGAGTAAATCTAGCACAAGCATGACAAATATTAGACATCAGATATGAATGAAAATACTTTACGATCTACTGATTGCCTCACACTAATTGCACCATGACAGAGTACATTTCTGATAAAAGCCCACAATTAAGGAAATATTTTTTTGTCTGAGCATGTACTCAATTCACATCAAGGCAGCTGTCAGCTGGATGATGTCAATTTTGACAACTATAATTTTTAATGTGCCAGATGCATTTATAGAGAACCTTAGTTTTGAAAGGAAGGCTTTTAGATAATGTCCTCAAAACACCTGGAGTAAAATAAAATAATAACACAAAATAAAACGCCACAGAGAGGGAACCCCTTCTGGTGAGGGGGCAGTTGGACAGGATTAAAGACAATCTTTTGCAATACATAGAAAACAGAGTGCAGCTAGCAGTCCATCTCAACAAGAGTACAGTTTCTAAGGTTTGGCACAGAATTACACTAAGTCAGTTACGCCACTTCCAACACAGTTTCTATCTCTGCAGTGCCCTGCACAGCACTATTTGAACTTACCATCCTGGATCAGGCCACTGTTTAGGATGGCAAGAGGGAAATGCAGTGAGACTGCTGCTCCTGCAATCCCCCAGACATTGTAATTTAGGGGCATTGTTTTATTCCAAGGATGGAGAACTTGTCAAGTTGGAAAGGTTTTTATATAAAACGTTGCATTTTACTGTTTTCACAGTTTCAGAGACCACCGCTGCCGATTGCAGACGGCAAGGAAGAGACAGAATCTAGCAAAGCCATTTGCAAAGTTACTTCCACACAGGCTGGTTTTGCCTTCATTTTCTCCCATATTGATGCTGTTAACCTAATGATTGCTCTAACACTTAGCATAACTGGCTAGGACAGACTTTCAAGAAGCTCAGACACATCCACTGCCTCTTTCCTACCAGAGCATTACAAGACTATTAAATAAATAAATTAGAACATAAAACTCAAAATAAAGTTAAACTGTGTTCAAACTAGCAGCTGTTAAGTGAATCAGGTCAGAGCACAATACTATTCATTTTTATCTGTGACTGGTCTGATTCTCTTTCTAATCATAGATCAGTTTTTGTTTATTGCCTTTCCAGTATCTCAATCGCACTCCATCGACTATTAGGTTTAATCCCTGCGTTTGCATTTTCAACATTTTTTCTGTCTCCTTCCCACGCAAAATGTAAGCTTCCCTTCCACAGTTCTGTTATGAAATAAACAAAGCATTAAGGCTGAGAGGGGGAAAGGCAGCCAAAATCATATTCACTTTGAGCAAAAGCATTTCAATTTTTAACAGACTCAAGCTTTTTAAAGATGATTGAGAATAGCTTTTTTTTAAAAAAAAAAAAAAAAAGAAAAAAAGAAAAAAAGATGGTTCCTTTGCTTTGTTCTGGAACTGTATTTCTTGGTTTTGTCGGATTTCTTTGATCCTGCAAAACTCAGGCCAAAATTTACATTTCTTCTTCTGCTCTAAAAATACCCACAGTGTTGCAGCTGCCTGAGCACAGTCTGACCTACTGGTATACAAGAGAAGGTTTTAAAATGCAGCCTATCAAGACATCTATTCCCGCTACTCTGAAACTTATTTTATAATCCATCCACATGTGATGCTCCAGCTTGATGACTTCCCACAAACCACTGAACTGTTAACTGAGGTTTTATACACCGTCAATCACACCCAGGCAAAAATAAATAAATAAAGGCAGACAAAATGAGTGAGAGGCAGCTCGGTTAATAACAGCTGGAAATAAAGCAATGATAAAAATAGAAGGTCACTTTCTGAAGAAAAGAATCTTCCAGAAGGGAAAACGTGTAAGGGAGGAAAAGAAGATCCAGTCAAAAATAAGAGAAGAAATTTCAAAGAAGATCTTCAAAAATTAATAAAAGTAACTGGATGATTCAGAAAGGGGCAAAAATTTCAAATGGGGAAGATACAACCTTATCTGTAAAAGAAAAACTCATTTCAATGAATTAAATGATTTTTAAAACCAGTATTTCCTGTAACTGTTATAAAGCATGATCAGCTTTTCCTAGCTTTTAGAGCACACACATACAAGCACTTCAGGAATAAATAAAGGACTTCTCCAACATGAAAGTCTAAATAAACATAAGAACCATCACACCAAACATACTCATCATTTTATTGTCTTCATCTTTCCTCTCCGTATTCTTCTACCCTCCAATCATAATGTGCTGCCTCTTTAATTATAATCTGACTGTTCCCCTGTATCTTCTGGTCACCACCCTTTGGCAAGCCCAGGGCGCAGCATACAAAGGACTGGCTCCCAGGACAAAGAAGGAAAGAAGTCATCAGAGCAATGTGTGTGAAAATAAGTGCATTCCTGGAGTAACAAAATTTACCACGTACCTAAGTGCCCGAGTGCAGCCAAATGAAGCCCGTGAGTTGTACAAGAAAAATTATTTTTCCCTTTAATACCTGTCCGAGTACGATCATAACTGTTTCATTCTTAATTAAATGTAATTTCATTTATCTCTCTGTTAAAAATAGAAGAGTTGCCAATTGAAAAAATAGAAATAATAGAAAATTTGGTAGATACGCCCTTACCTTTTCTTAATAAGCTGTACATCCCCAGTTCTTACAGGTATATGAACAGAATAACAGCCAGAGTACAGTACTCAGTCTGGCTTTGCTCCATTTACCAACCATCATTCTCCCAGTATCGGTTTTGTTTGTTGAATGTTAACATAACCTATTCAACAAGAAGTTATTGTCTTGTAAGAGGCACTACTCAAAGAGTTGGTAAGATCTTAATCAACCAACCACTGAAGCTACTTCATAGCCATTACACCTCACCATCTTCACTACCTGAAAAACAAGGTATTTTTGTAGGTTTGTAAGTGAAATAAAATTCTGAATGAAGTCACGCTGTTCTGTACCAGCACAAACCGCTGCCAGAGCAGTGACTGCCATGTAAACACGCCCTCAGGCACCAAGAAAAGAACACTAAATATGCAGTGTACAGCTGTGACCAGTAGTTCAATCTACATTGTCTTGGCAAGGCTGAAGGGCTGTGATAAACTGGCTACGTGTATGTGCTTGTGCTGTTTGTAACTGACTAATTAAATGCTGGTACCCCAACATTTTTGTTCTAAGTACAATGAAGAGAAAATTCAAAATAGCTTGAGTTTAAAAACAGAAGATGTCACTTCTGTTCTTTACCCTATAATATACTGCCACAGAGGTTTTTTAACACTTTCTTAGTTACACACATTATTTGCAATGTAGGTCCTTCTCATTGTATTAAAAAAAAAAATGTTTCTAATCCATTACAAATGTAGAGATTATGAGAGAACCTTTAACACACTAAGCACAGCATCTTTGACCAGTGAATATGCGACATAGAACTGGACTACGAAGCAAAACTGCGCCTCCTAAAAATAAAATTGTATCAACAAACCTGAAAGATGTTTGTAAATAACTTATTTCAAGTTTTCTTTAGTTGGAAGAAAAAGTACTGAAGTAGGTTTATACAATATGCACCAATTTCACTGTTCTTAGGGCAACAGAATGCAATTCTTTTCAAAATTCAAATAAATACAGTCACCTACAGTTTTCAAGGCTCTTCTTTTCTGCTCTGTCCACTACTTACCATGTGAAACTTTTCATGTGTTGGAAACCCATTTGCAGTGTATTCCACATTTAAACATCCACTAGATAATACTGTACAAGGGACTAGCTAGAACATGCAACATTTGCTGTGATATACTGTGTAGCATTTGCAAAAATGGAAGTGACTAAATGAATTACCAAATCTGAAGGGTGACAGATCCCCCTGGCCAGTTTCTGAGCCAGAGTAAACTACAAGTACAGAAGAGCTGTGGGTATGGCTGTCGTAACTCTGTCCTCAGCCAGAGTTCTTCAGCCTTATTCCCTTCCCTCTATAGTTGTCCTATTTATTGTGTTTAATACTAAAATACCTGAATTATCAATGGTTCCAATAATTTCTCCACTGTAAACGTCTGGATCTGCAGATCCCGAGGATCAATTTTCAGTTTAATATTTGGTACTTTTGTTGACATTTCACCTAGGTGCAAAAGAAAAAAAATGCAATAAGCAATTATTAGCCACGACCACAAGTCTCATTGCCCTCTGTCAGAGCCCAAAGACTGCCTATGGGAGTATATACTTGTTTCCATAACAGGGCTAAGATTCCAAGAGATAAAATTAATTTTTCTGATTCCTCATTTCTAAATTCTGGAAAAATATGCAAATACTTGCATAAACTGTAAAACAATAGATTTAAAATACATCGAATTCCTTGTCTTCCCTACCAGATTTCTAAATTGACCATATATTAAAAATACACAAGGATAATTGCATTAAAAGACCTCTGAATATAAGTTCTCTAGTGGTCAATAAAAAGATGCTTTAGAGAAAAAAATATATATTACACTATTGAATTTATCACAAACCAAAAACGTTAATGCTATGTGCACAATACCTGTATCTTATTTCATGTGCCAAATTACAGTGGTCATAAGAAACACTTTAAGAACAAAAATATATACAGCAGCTCTTAAAGGTCTTGGCAATTAATAGCAAGAGAAAGTAAAACATTTAGTGATTTTACACCCTGTAATAACAAATATTTTCTAAGTGTCAAGACTGATTAAATCAAGAAAGCCAATTACTGAAGTCAGTAAGATGGAAATAAAGCTAAGTAAGGTCTTTAGAGCGAATAAATCATTCATTAGGAGCTTGACCCAAAGTCCACTGATGTTAATTTAAGGGTTTTCACTGAGTTCACTGGGCCATAGTTCAGGCCTTTAGCCGCAGTGAAATGTGTGTGCGCCAGCGAAGAATTATAACTGTGCTTTAGTGGGAGTGCAACTGATTATTGTCCCAAAATAAAAGACATTTTGAATTTTCCATTAACTTAACTTCCCATAAAACATAGCTCAAAGCCCTTTTAGCCAATAAAGACTTCAAACACACAAATAATGGATATCTGTCCTTTTTAAGCAGAACTTACTACAACCATTGCTGCTATATAATAAAGTAATATGGTACTGCAGTTGTGCAGGCTAAGGATATATATTGTCACCTTCTGGTGAACCTAGAATTGATTTAATACGGCACAGTAGGTTTAGGGTTTCTATAGTAAGCTGTGTAGCAATGGCCCTGAATTGTTTATCGGAGAATAGTTATCCACATTTCACTTGCCAGCAAAGATAATACACATAATTAAAGAATTAAGGTTGAAGGTAATTTAGGGGTTTGCCTTTCTTAGTAAAGGTTATACAACTGCCAAGTTTGTTCTTTTATTACAAGCTATATCGGTCGCAGCCCTAAGTTCACAGAGATTCAGCTGCATGCAGGTGATAACATGTGCAAAGAAATGATTTTTCAGTCTTAATTCCAAGTCAAAAGATAAAGATAACAAAAACTTGAGATCAGACTGACTATAATTACACTCTTCCTTTCGTGGAAATTAGTAATAGAAGGAGAACTCTAAAAATGTCAGTGCAAATTATTGGGCCATATTTTACACATTTAACTTTTAGCTACTTGTAACAAACACCAAGGAAATAAAAGTTGGGACTCCTGAAATTGCCAGTGTCAGTGGTTCTCTTTCTAGCCAATGGATCAGTAGTTAGGATACTTGCCAAGTTTTGAAATACTCCAGTTTAACTTATCCCTCTGTTTGAAGGGAACTGAGCCCCTCACCACTCACTGCTTCAGAAACAAGCAGTGGCTCCTAGTCAGGAAAAGGAGTGCAGCCCTTCTGCTACCCCAAGTTGTTACGTATTCTCCCTCGCGTGATGAAGCTGTAGCTGTGCCAGTGTACAGACCACCTCTCTTAGTCACAAAACCTCACTGCAGCTGATAGAAAGTGCTTTGAGACAAATGACTCAGTATCTTCTGTCGTTTCTGTTCTACTCAGTGTAAAACACCAGTTTATCCACTGAGCTCAAAACAAACCAGGCTGAAAACACAGCATAGCTGGAGAGGCTGGTGGTTAGAGCATGCTCCAAGAAGGCAAAACATTCTGTTTCCAAACTTTGTTTTCACTAATGTTTCCAGAATTTCAGACCAAGGAGAACCACAGAGACAGAAGACATCAAAAGTCAACAAACTCAAAATATCTACAAGCACATTCAGCATAATAAACGTCCTACTGATCAGCAGTCCATCTAGTCCAGTATGTTTGTTATGGTCAGGCTATCAATTCTTGATAATACACTGTATATGCAACAAAACAAGAAATAGGGCAGGTTTTTTTCTACCTACTGTTCAGTGGAAGAATCGCTAAGAGACAAATTCACAGCCACCCAGAGGGCTTCGAACAACTACAATTTAGGTCATCGTGAAAGTGCAACACCTCCTGGTTACTTTATGCTGTGCACATAACACCCTTGGTGAGCTGCGCTCTGAAACAAGAGCTTATCCTTACAGCTCAGGCCAAAGACATGCCCACTCTGTACTCACACAAGCAGGTTGGTGTTTTGTTTTTGGTTTTTTTTTTTTTTTTTACTTTTTACATGTAGTGATTCTTACTGTTAATTTCCACTGTTTCTTTACATATGGAAACTAAAACCAAAAGTTAAACCAATTTCTTAACCATATAATTCTTTGGAAATACACTAAATATACAATGATGTAAGTAAAGTCTGTAAACTTCAAGAGTGAGAGATCTAGTACAAATGCCATCTCAAAGGGCCAACACCTATTAACTACATCATTTTATTAAACAATGATTATTCAGAAAGGTTCTGTGTCTGCAAAGTAGATTAAAATTCAAGCTTTCTTCTAGCTACGGCTGCACAGTTATTTCCAGCAACATTTGCCATCCTATCAGTAACCAGGAAGTCAGGTTCCCACCAACATTCAGATCTCCACACCACCTCTTGAATTAAAGGCAGCAAATATTAACAGGAGAACCTTTTTAACCCATTAAAGTAAGCTTTCCTACAGTACCGATAACTTGCTCTGAAAGCCACAAATATCTGTCATTCACATCCCTGCTCTTCTGAGCTTCAATTCCAAACTGCACTGCTATTTAATAGCTTCTTAAACTGCCTCTCCTGCAAGGAAACAGTGCTGCACACCCACCCTTTTGGCTGACCCTGCAGCGTTGGGATGTAGCGTGTCGTGCCTGTGCCGGCCCGTTGCCGCAGCCCCTGAGCATACAGCAGAGATGCACCCACACTGCTGAGGAGCTGTTTCTGCTGCATGTCCCCCCGAATCAAAAAGCCTTTGAATTCAACAAGATACTCTCCTCCAGCTTCACTGGGATTGCATCAGACCACACCATTTCAGACTCTTGAAAAAACAGAAATTTTTTTTTTTTTTTTACCCTCTACAATTCACTGGTTCTCTAAATCTTTGGGCAACACTTCAATGAATCTGCCTTTTATTCACATTAAAGAAACCATAAAAATCGTTATGATATTGCTGGTTCACAACCCTTATTTTTGACATTTTCACAAGCCTTCCAGTATATGGGTACTTCTTGAAATCCATCACAACAGTTGCAAATAGATGGTATAGATTGTGTTGTGAATTTTTTTCTGGTCAAGACATATATCAGTTGCAAGGGGACAGGTAAGAACTAGATGGAGATAGCACTTCACGCTTCTACTCAGATTTGAAGAAATCATTAGATGATTTTCAGGTTATTTTTTCTACAGATACACTCATTCTCTAACTTCACAGTGCCTTCCCCTCAGTTCCTCAATAGAAGGATGTTCTCAACTGCTTTACTCAAAAATCAGAAATAAAACCTCTGCTGCTTGCAGCAAGAGCTGCTCCTCATTCCCACAGCACAACTGTCTATACTACAGGTCATCTACAATGATCAGATCTTTTCTAAAATTTGGCAGATAAAAATGTAGTTATAATTATAGTCACTTCCTCTTACTACAGATCATTCTGCTCCAGAATCCTACCACTGAGCAGTCTCAAACATGGGAAGTTCTACAAATCAAATCCTGTTCTTGCAGATCAGAAAAATGTGAATCCATGTGCTGTGACTTTCCCTTTTCTGGGTTTTTTGGGTTGTTTAGAGTTTTCAGGGGGTTTAGGGTGTTTTTTTTTTGTTTGTTTGGGGGTTTTTTGTTTTTGTTTTTGTTTTTTGTTTTTTTTAAACCTTAGCATACTGTTTAACATAAGCATTTTTATTATTTTCTTGAGCCCTGGCTCAGCTGGCTTTTGAACTCAACAACAGCTTTTAAGCCTCGGGTCAGGCCCATAACTTATCATTAACTGAAAGTCAATTGCAAAAACTACTGTTTCAGAAAATTTCAATTATATTCTAAGCTATAAATAACCTACTTAAGGGCCTGCTTGATGATTCTAGTCTTTTAATTTTTTTTCTTTTTTAAAGTAAAAATCTAATGCTTCCTGAAACTTCCTTAAAGCAGCCAAAATATGAAAACAAGGTTGCAAGACAGCGCAGTGAAAACTATGATATCTTAAATGATTTTAATACCCTGACTACATATTATTACTTTACCAAAAGTAAGGAGCCTGCTCTCCTTACTGTTATTTACCATATTAGCTAATCAGTATCTAAATAGGAATTGGGGGGGGGGGGGGGGGGAAGCAGTGTTTCTTTTTGTTTTGGTTTTGGTTTTTGTTTTTGTTTTTGTTTTTTTTTAAGTCAAGACAAGGGTAATAGGTCATAGAAAGTAAAATATGCAGCCAGTAAAGTTAATTCTGGGGGTTTCTCCGATATTTCTCCTTGAAAAGTGAAGTTCTGTCCTTCCAGATCATCCTCATTAAAATGACAAATCTTGGTGCTTGCCTCAGGGAAAAAAATGAGAATCACAGTCCATTTTCTATGTTTTTAAAATGCGTATGTTTACTCCAGTATAATATGCCTTCTAATTGCAGTAGGGATCTTGACTGCAAGATCTTTTGGTAAAAGGCTCTCATAACCTCACACTCAGTTATATTAACCTTTACAGTAGGCAATTTCAGCACCGTAGACCAGCAGCTCTTACAACACTTAAGATGTTAAGCATGTGTCACAAGATACAGTTGTGTCTCAGAACAGCCAGAAAAGCAACCACCTGCACACTCCTACCAAGTGCTACAAACACTTTAAGATCATGAGAATTTTGTCTTTTCACAAGACGTGTCCAAACTGAAAGTGCTGAGTCTTTTGGTGTAATAAAAAAAGACCCTGGAAAACCAATCAAAGCCTGTGTCCATCTGCAATACAATGTGAACGCAGCACCTGCAGCTTTTAAACAATCTATAAGTATACTGTATACAGACATAGATAAACTAATTAGTGTCAGAAATCAGAGCCAAAAATATTCTGCATAAATTAGAAAACATTAACTTTAGAATCCATTTCCTGCTAGATCATTAGAAAGCCAATAGCACATCACTCACCTATCCTAGAATATATATGGTCCATATTCAGCACTAAAGCAACTGTCTATGTAGTTCCCTTGTGTTAGGAACTTCAGTGCAACTGCTATGGCTCACTATTTGGCGTCTGAGGCATCTGCAAGGGACTGCCTGACAAGCTCTCCAGTGTATTTCGGGATGACTGACGGGACACAGCGGCTGCTGGAGGGGTGGCAGGGGGATGGGCACCCTTAAAGCTGTATACTGGAGCACAAATACGTCAGAAAAAAATTGGAAGTCGAAAAGCTTTTGAACAATTAGGTGACATGACACAGGTCATCACTGATACTTCTGGTGCTTATTCTTGTAATTTGCAGCACAGCTACTGTTTCCCCATACATTCTGATAGCGTGCCAACTTCTGGCTCGAGGCAATGACTCAGTCTCAGACTTTTGAGCTGGACAGCAAAGGGATTCATAAGGCTCTTACCCAGTAACTTGGCACCAAATTTGTTTTCTTTGGTGTTTTGTTTTGTTTTTTTTTTTTTCTATTGTATGTTACTCAACACTGACATATATTATCCTATCACTTCCATAAAATGCACAGGCCTATTGCCTTCTAAAAAAACCAAGGCTGGCAAGAAAAAAAGAATATTAAAACAAAGTAGTCTGGAGTAGCATTTTTAAACAAGATACACATGGACAGGACACCTGAGGATTTCCAAGACATGAAACATTGCTGAGAATATGGAATAGGTTGTGTTATATGTTCTTAATTAAAATATTTATTATACAGCTTCATCCACTAGTGCCAACACCAGTCTGGGAATAAAACTACTTAATCCTTTTGCTACAGAGTCAGTACAAGTGCAAATGAGGTTTTATAGAAGCCACAACAGTCACTGCATTTTAATTTAATCCTCTGGCTGATACATGAAATAAGATATTCAGAATGCAAAAGTGTACTAGGTCTGTTTACAATACCGCAGCATGGACTTTTTTTGCTTGAAAACCTGATGTACCTTGGTGGACCACACCATGCCCTGAAATGGAGCGATACACCTCTGACACCTGGGAAGGATCTGGCCCATTTAACACCAGGGAAAACCTGTAATGCACCTGCCAAATTACTTAGATTTCTATACAAAGCTGTCAGGTTACACTCCAACCACCTCAGATTTTATCACGAGTAACAGGAAACATGTCTGTTAATGTAAAGACATCACAATGGAAAGAAGAGCTGAAGAACTGGAGAAGGTGGCAAGATGCAGATCCCTTAATAACATCTATTCACTGATGTCTATTTAAACAGGCTACTTTATTTAAACAGTTTTGCAGTGAATTAACTGGAAGATAATTTTTGATGCTGAAAGAAAACAAAACAAAAACACATCACTTTTTTTACATTCCCTTTCACCTCCCTCTGTGTCTACTTTCTCCCTAGAGCAATTTTTCAATCCATTGGCCAACTTCATCCACATCTGAAAAGCAGCTGAAGTTTCCAAGTATGCAAGATTTCCACCAAGTTCTTCAACATAGTTCTCAGCATAGGGCCATACATAATCCCTTACAATGAATCTGACAAGGAAAAGCTTGGTTCTTACTAAATAGTGGAGAATCTGTGTGGCAAGGAACAGGCTATGACTGACCTAACAGCATCAAAAAGCTTTAATTAAGGTTTATGGAAAAAAAAAAAAAAAATGAGATGGGGGAAGGCATTACACCTTAATGAACTGGTCTCATGTAGACTTTCTGATGTCTACTGAGATACCAAATGAACATTTTTCCAAGGATTATAACATTCAAAACATGCTCTCTTTTCCTTGTTTAACAGTCATGCCTACTTTATCTGTAGTGCATCCCATGAAAGCACTTTAACAAGCAGAGGTCATCTTCCAATATCGCATCCGGAAAAAGAATCACAGAGGAAAAATTATTTACTCAAGATCACATAGAATGCCAATAGCAGAATCAGGGGTGGAGTGCTGGGATACAGCCATCTAGTCACTAGAGCACCTTACTCACAATTTCTTTAACTGAGGCCACTAAGCTGGCTAAGAAGAGTAAAGCATTTCCAAATACAATTTACACGTTAAATCCAAAGATATAATCTTATCTTCCATACTCATGTCAAGGTTACCCAGATACTAGTATTTCTTATTCTTAGTAAAGTCAGCTAATACATTCTTCTCCCTTAAACATACTGTCAAAAGTACTGCCTTGGCTGAATGCAGGCACTTCCAGCCTGTTGAGACACACTGACAAATTCTGTGAGATGTTCCAGCAGAGGTGTGAACACTACAGCCTGACCAGCTACAGAACTTTGGCTTTTGCAGACTCTGCTTTTCAGCCAACAGCTATCCAAAAATGAGTGCTACAGTCCTGAGCCTACAGCCACAGCAAGTAAAATCTTTCCACTGATGTGTAACCATGGAAACTTGTGAACCTGACAATGTTCTCGCTATATTAGCAGTAAACTAAATAATTAATCTGATATCAATTAAATTCTAGTAGATATATACCATTATGGTTGACAGCAGAATCAAAAGAATCCCGCTTGGTTCAGAAATGCTTTACCAATCTTTGTAATACTTCTTCCAGGTACATTTTTCCAAGTACTGGAATTTTTGGTTTCAGAACCGCAGTTATAATATTTAAGATACTGAAAAATCATTTACTTCCAAAAAGGAAAAAAAAAAAAAAAAGGTGGTATAACATCAGATGGCAGCATTTCATTCCAAAAGAAAAGTTTTTCATTAGCACTCTTCGGACCCATTTCAAATTCTTAAAGAAAGAAAAAAAAATCCTTTGACATGAGGCTCCGTGCTATTTTCACTGCATGCATTCTGAGCATGGAACAAGGATCCCTCTCCAAGTGGCATACGGTTCCTACATGGATGCCTATCCTGTGCTGGTAGTGATAGGTTAAGAAGGTCTGGCTCCAAGCCCTCCCTTTTGTTATCACTTTTAAAGTGTGCCTATCTCTATTCAGAACCAGAGACTCTGTTTAAATAAAGTTCAAGTTGACCTTCCACTAAAAATAGGATATTGTTCAACTCATTAAAAACAGACAACAGAATTCCATAATATGCTACTAAAAGGTTCTTAAATTTTATTTTTGTTAAATGCAATCCCCTTATTTCCCTTTTTTGTTATTTGCTGAGGGTTACCTATTGCAACATTATACTACACTCTTTTGCTTAACAAATATCTCTCTTACTCAGTAGCAATGAGGTAAAAAACCCCCTGTTTTCCGTTCTCTTTGTAGAGCTGCTACTCTTGCCAGCTAATTTTGTTGTTTCATACCCATGCATTACCCCAGGATGCTTCACTATCACATATGATTTTATGTAACTATTTTCAAATTGATATACAAGTTCATATTTTTTGTGTGTGTCCAGTGACCCAAATAGTGTAATTCTTCTACCCTGTAGTCTACAGACACCAACAAAACAACCTCAAAATCAAGGGTAGCCTATGTGATTGATACTTCGTAAGTATATATGAACTTTGAGATATGCATGAAAATAAAAGAGAAACTGTTCTCAAACTGCATCATTTTGGATGTTGGCAAGCAGCTAGTTCGCTAGCACCTACAAAAGCATGATCTAAAAAAACAGGTGAAAGAAAAACAGTATTTAGGCAAAACCATAATCCCACCGCACCCTGCCTGTATACATGAACAGACCTCTGACACGCAGATTAATTCTTCCAGTGGGGTTCCTGGTGCTGCACAGCACCCTATTTCCTCTATCAACTCAGACAACCAGTTTCAAATCAAAACATAGCTCAGAAGATAAATTCCACTTAGTTGATACATCATTTCTGATGAAGCAGCTTCAGAAATAAAGACTAAAGACATTCCTGCCCATTTTGACCTCTGCTCTCATTCCAAATCAAAAGGATTTGCTAAAGAGCAACCATTTAAAAAACAACAAAAAAAACCTACAACAAAACCAACAACCAACTTTGTTCCAAGGTGGATTAGTTTCCTAACATCAACCAACTGATTAGGAATAGGTGAGAACAGCAACAATTCATTATGCATTTTTTCTAAATACCTGTCACTAGGCCTAATTCTTTGCTGTTGGATATCTTTCAGGCTTCACTAGCTCTGAACATAGCTCTTTTCTTTAGTAAGAGGAATCCAAGTGGATTTTACATAATGGAAAATAGTCTTAGTGTACATAAAGTTTTTCAAGGATGCTAAATGCCGTATTGAATGTAACAGCCCTCTACTATCCCTCACTTATAAACAATTGCCTTTTATACTTTAAAATAAAAAATAATTATATAAAATTGCCTTATATGTTAATTCAGTATTTTCAACACTGAGGTGATAAACATACATTTACATAAGCCTTCCTTGCATTAGATGCAAAAGCCAGCAAAGTACCAGGAGGTAAGTTAAACTTTTGAAATAATAGCATCCATGCAACATTTTATCCTACCTTTTCCAATATTCCAATATTTTTTTTTCATATTTGAAAAATACAGAAACACATTGTACAACTTTAGTTACTGGCCTCAAGCAACAAGACCATGATGATTTAAAATATTCAGAACATTTTAAAAATCCTGTTTCAAAGTACTTTTTCTAGAAATTTGGTTAATAAACCCAGATTTTTAACTCAAACTTTTGAGGCAATTACTTGATTAAGCAACTATAGTCTCAGTCTCAACTTCGTGTACTTTCTCCAAGTGGAAGATTCCCTTAATTTCTCTTCAATCTTACCTTTTGAATCAAGAATCTAGTAAGAGATCCTAGAAACAGCCCCGTGAAGAACTCCTCTTGAAGCAGCTTGACTCCAGAGGCACGACGGTGCGACACCAAATGGTTGCCTGTCATTCCTAGACTATGAGAAACTAAATAGGAGGGGAAGAGAGTCAAAATGGGGAGGGCAGTACCCATCTGGGACCTCCTCCTAAACTGTTAGTTCCCAACTTCACTGACAGCTTGCTACTGAAAATACCACTTAAAGAGACCCCAAGCTCATTCATAGTCTTGCAAACATAGTTTGCCTCTGAACTTTTAGACCGTAAATCAGACATCATTGAAGTCAATGGCAAAGCCTCCTCAGAAATCAGTGAGATTTAGGTTGAGCATGAGAGGGGAAAGGGGAAGAAGGAAAGTAAAGGCC